TGATCTTGCCATTTTAAGCTATTACAACCCATTATATCAATAGTCAGGTCCTAATCACAGAACTGTATTCTGAATATACTTCCAGAAAGAAACACTTGTGGATTTCTGGAAGGCAGTCAAAAAGGCAGATATTGGGTGTTTATATACTGCTGTTATAAACTCAGGATTCTGCTTCCGTCACTGAAGCTACCAGTTGCACACTCAACACACTTCAACATCCAATGCTTAATTATTCAAGAAAACAAGCTCTACAGCTCTAAAGCTGTTTTTTTTTCCTCATTTCCTGTCTTCACAAAACCAACACAAATTACGGTGCCCTTACAAAGCAACTGCCTGATTGAAACTGTTCAAACTGCATGTGGATCCCACACTCAATGTGTCATCTTCCCTTTCCGACATCCCATGTTAGGGACATGTCTGAGTAAGGCAGCTTGGGACTACAACCATTTTTAACCCTTTGCTCTCCAGGCTCCACTCTTGGTTTAGCCAACAAACAACAAAGTCAATTCTACATGCTCCAGAAGCCTAAAAATTAGGCTTCTGCCCAATGAATATTCCGTGTGCCTGCACTTTTTACGCCAAAAAATACCCCAAAAACAAACAGTGTCAGCTGAGCTGGGAAACAAATGATTTTGGCAAAAATTAGCAACTGGAAAACCAAAGTTACAAACCGTTTTGCTATGAAACAATACATTTTAGGGCACCACTCTAATAAGCAGTCTATTGCTACATATAGGAGTGTCTTAAAAAATTAGTAACTGTGTTAAAATTTGAGAACAAATAAGCAAGGTTTTTATCTTGAATAACTTAGAGAACATGTTTTCCTATGTGAGAAGAGACTTTGGAACAAAACAATTAAAAATTAAATCAGAAAAATGCCAATCTAGAAAGAAATTAAACAATGCTTCTGTCTAGGACTTAATGCTATCCTAAATGTGTTTACTCAAGCTGTGTTTGAGGCATAAATTTAAAAGTGCTGTTAAGCACACAGGTGACAAAGATGTAAAAACTTTTATGTGCACAGACTGAAGGAGAAATAACAGAATCTGGAAAGGATACAATTGCATGTTTGTCGCTCTCTTCAATGCTTTCTAGCAAATAGAGATCCAGCAGTGCCTGAAATGAAAGAAAAAAAGGTTTTCTGATGCTCCTGTCTTTCACAATCAATGGCTTTAGGGGACTGCTGCTGCTTCTGCTGGGGTTTTCAGTGAACAGAACACTCACATGTAAACTAACAGGTGGGTATTTCCCAGTGCCGCCTTCATCCCTCTGCCACAACTTCTCCACTTCCTCTCCCAACTGGGAAACCATTCCATCAATCAGCAAGCAATCAGAATCCCATTTGCCTCTGTAACAAAAGGGAGCAAGGGCTTGCACAGTGTAGAACACTCATTCCAGCCTCCCAGGGTCAGATTTTGGAGTCAGAGGAATCATGGTCCTTAGCTCACAATGAACTTATTCATTAAGGAGTCCAAAGCACAAACCCAAGAGAAGAGCTGCAATGACCCTTTGGGTTCCAGGCTTGCTTTCTTGCTCTGTTATGTGTAATGCCAAGGAGTGCAGACAAAGGGTTTTAACTGCAAAAATAACCACTCTCACACAGTCTAACAGTGTGAATTCCTTCTAGAGAATCCTCTAAGTCTTACCTTGATAAGCGCTCGAGTTTCTCTCGGTGACC